ATTGAGTGTGTATGCACTGTGCTTCTGAAGTTGTGCAACATGCAACTGTCCTCTTTCTACTTCACCCCACGGCCCCTTCAGGAGCTGATTCCGTATGTCTGCTCAGTATTCTAAATTCAGTGGGTGACCGAGGCTGTGAAATAATCCTAAGATGCATAATTTATCCTGTACTAGATGTACTGAATATTTATCTAGTATTAATATACTATAATTAAAAACTTCTATTCTTCTTGAAGCCTGTGAAAAACCATACCATGTTTCTGATTCTCAACCCTGGAGAGCTCCAATCGAGTGGTAAAGCTCCTCTATAAATAAAGCTCAACTTATAGTGATATTAGAAAAATCCAAGGTCATAGTATGTGAAATGGAGACCAATGTCCCTGTGCCACCCCAGCATCCCCATCATGATGACGTTGGTGTATCTGATGATAACGTCAATAGCAAGAAATGATACAAGTCATTAGGTACCATTTATTCCTTGACAGCCATGCTTATGAGGGAAGTACAAGCATTGTCCTGATTTTCATGTGGAGACACTGATTAGTTTGCCCAAGTTGACTGAGCTGGGAAGTCGCTCAATTAATCCAGATTAGCCTGAGCTCGGAGACTTACTCTTAACCACTTCTACTGTACTGTCCCTCAATTATAAGAAGAGTTTCAGGCTCTTGGTTTGAAAGCAAAAACAAGTACTGTAATACAAGTAATAGTATTGTAATTGGTACAAGAATTATAACAATAACCCTAAAAGGCAATCATCCAGTTCTCTAGTGTCACCTCTAAAACGATTCTGGGAAAAGCATCTGTCCTTTGGAGTATGACACATCAGCTGCATCTTCTTCAAACATTTATTCATATCCCGAGTTTGGTGACATTTCATGGTGTCTGAGTTTTGTAAGGTTGATTTGTGAATTTCCAGAAAAAAAATTCTCCAAGCTCATTTTAACCTGGCTTCTTTTAAAATTAAATATGCATTGCATTAAGCATATTGTTTGGTGCCATAGCGTGAATGTTTGTGCCCCCCTCCAATTCATATGTTAAATCTTAATGCCCAGTGTGGTGGCATGGGGAGGGGTCCTTTGGGAGGTGATTAAGTCATGAGGGTGGAGCCCTTAGGAATGGGATTAGTGTCCTTATAAAAGAGACTCCAGAGAAATCCCTTGCCCTTCCTACCATGTGAGGATACAGTGAACTGACCAGAAAGAGAGCTCTAATCAGACTCCAAGCCCAGTAGTATCTTGATCTTGGACTTCCCAGCCTCCAGAATGGTGAGAAATGCACAATTTCTGTTGTTTACAAACCACCCGGTGTATGGTACTTTTGTTAGAGCTACCTGAATGGACTAAGACAGCGGGGTAGACCTGGTTCCCTACATTAAGTAGGGGTAGGTCCAGAAGTTGCGTACAGTCCGGAAGTTTGGGACAAAATGGAGCAGTTAGTTCCTGCACTGGCCAGAGTCATCTCCTCAACCGGGTCTCCCACTGTCCCCAGATCTGAGTGAGTGTGGGTCACTGAGCACCTCCCCTGGGACATGCATCATAGGACGAGCCGTCATTCACTGCCTCTAAGGCTCTGCTGTCCAGACCCCCCAAATTCTAGTTGTGACAGTGAGACTTGAGGAGGAGGCAGAAGGCAGAAAGCCGAGGTTAACCCACCTCTTCAGCCTTCAGCACAGCTGCCTCAGCCCATGGTGTTTCTGGAAGGAAGGACGGAGGAAGGAGACAGCAAGGGAAGTGGGAGAGGGAGAGAAAGGGGGAGCAGAGAAGAGAAACGATGCGCTGCAGTAGCTCTGAGTGCCACCCAGTCGCGGTCAGGCATACCCTCTGGTCTAGGGCCAGCATTTCCATCTGTCCCCTTTGTCTCCGTTTTGTTTTAAGGGAGTAGTTTTCCTCCTCAGTGTAGACCCATCGCCTGTCCACTATACTTGGGGAACCACGTCTTCTAAGAGTCCAAGACAGAGTGTCTGTGCTGGGTCTGAATGGACACTGCATAGTACAGATAAATGAAAGAAAACGAGAATAATTTTTATTTTATTAAAAATATTTTAAATTAAAATATATTATTTTTTATTGATGTATAGTCAGCTTACAGTGTATCAGTTTCTGGTGTACAGCATAGTATTTCAGTCATACATATACATATATATTCATTTTCATGTTCTTTGCCATTATAGGTTACTACAAGATACTGAATATAGTTCCCTGTGCTGTATGGTAGAAATTTGTTTATTGGGAATTTTCTTTTTTTTAAGTAACACAAATGCCAGCAGAAATATTAAACTCGTAAGGTGAAATCTTCTTAGTGGTATTTTTCTTAAATATACACTCTTTGGAGTTGTAAGATGTGTATTTTATACATGGTCACTTAACCGGACAAAAACCAGTTAAATCAATTATTGTTAGGAATCTTATGTGAATGATCTGTTTAATGAAATTACAGAAAATGGGTCATTCTTATTTTGATCAGGTGGAAAAGGGTTTGATTTCACAATCAAAGCTGATATCTATCTATCTCTGCGGAGGTGATTTGAGGTTTCCCGGCAGGGAAGCGGGGGTCCAGACCGCCCCTGCTGGAAGGCAGGGCTGCCTCCTGGGAGGTGCACCTTCCGCTGGAGGTGACTTAAGAGAGGGGTTGGGTGAAACCAAGGAACGAATTTATCTCTGAGCCTCCTGCTCTTGTTTGAACAGCCTGCAGGGATTAACTTGTGGTTGGGTCTGAGCCAGAGAGATAAACGACGCAGCCACAGCCGTTGTGTGCTCGCATTCAGAGGGCGCACTTGCCAAAATGGGACAAGGAAGGATTGTGGTAAAGAGAGTTCAGGATATCTTAATACAGCAGAATGATCCAGTCTGTTCTCTGGGCTTTATGAGGAGCTCAGAGCTGAGCCTCAGGGCACCGTAGTGTATCCTGAGGGTTTAATAGCCAAGTGGCACCTATTAGGGGAAGCCCAACCATGTGGGAACAAAGATGAGTGGACCCTTCCTTTTTTTAAAAACACAGATTTATTTATTTTTCCAACCACCTCATGAAGGCAAGGGAAAGCAATCCACAAAAGGGTGGGGAGAAAGCACTAAATTTTATAGTTGTTCTCAAAATTCAGATCCTGGATTTTCCAAAGCAGAAAGTTTAGACTGAAGGTTGGGAAGGTCTCCCAAATGCACCAGTTGCGTTTCAGAGAATGTCATTTTACGAGGAAAAGCGAAAAAACACCTTTCAAACACCGTGTGTCCCTGTGTAATCCTGGGGTTAACTGCTCTGCCTTATAAAGCCAGTTCAGTTGGTAGAGGGACATTTACCTTACTCAGGGGTTGTGTTCTAAAGGTAACCCTTACGGCAAAAATGAATCACATTGAAAGTTGCCCTTGGAAATCTCCTAAGATGCCCACGAAATAAAATAGACAAGATTTTCTATATATAGGTGTGTGTGGGTGTGTGTGTGTATATATATATGTCTTTTTCCTAATTTGAGTATGTATAAGGGTACAGTGCACGACCTGTAATGGAATCTGCTTGCAAAATGTAATTTTCCAGTGTTTTTCGTGCATGGAACAGCCACACAGCACACCTCGCTGAGTGCAGGGGACTCACCTGCAGCACCTTGAACCCAGCCCAGCCGCCCTCTACTCTGCTTCTGCCACACAGGCTAGCTGCTTTCGTCCTGTCCACACTCTCCCAGCACCCATCCCACTCGGCCCCTGTTCTTAGTTCTGCCACCCCTCAGAGCAGGCACTTAGACAGGGTTGTCACTCTGCAGCCCAGAGGGAACAGAGGTGGGAATGCCACGGAGGCCAGAACAATATGCTGTGTCCAGAAGACCAGTGACACGTTCTGGGTACCGAGTGGTCACATGCAAGTGTGTCTGGTGGAGCTCGTCCCTAAGCCGCCCCTCCACCCACACCAGGAAGAGCAGTGACAACACTGCACTCTTCGTTTTGAGAGAGATTTTTTTAAAAATGTTTTTATTGTTGGAAAGTAGGTGGCAGAAAGAAAGGCAGGATGAAAATGATACAGGTGGGAGACTGACAGGGCTGGGTTTACGAAAAGGCAGACAAACCTATCAAAATCGTCCACTGTCAAGGTGGCAACCACCCTGCTAGAGGCTGAGGCCACTTTCCTTAATGTCTCTGGATCTCAACACCTGTAATTAAGAATTAGCCCAGCAGGGAACTCTATCCGATGTCTTGTAATAAGCTATAACGGCAATGAATCAGAAAACAATGTAGGTATATGTATAACCGAATCACTTTGCTGTGTACCTGAAACCAACACAATATCATAAATCAGCTAGACTTCAATAAAGTTAAAAAAAAGAGTAAGCCCATAGGAGTTTCACCCACGTTGTTTCTTGATATTTAAACAAAACAAATCTACTTTTGCAACCCTTAAGACGAACTTCTTCTTAACACCTCAGTGGGATCCTCGCGTGGTAACAGGGCCTTCCTACATTGTCTGTAAAATAAAAAATGCGGATTTCCTAGTTTTTCTTTTTCATTTTGGTCAGAGGGGTCTCAATCCAACTCACCTATTTATTTATCTGTATATTTTTAATTTTTAAATTGAAGTGTAGTTAATTTACAATGTTGTGTTAGTTTCTGGTGTACAGCAAAGTGATTCAGTTGTATGTATATGTATGTATGTATATGTATATAGATACATAAAAATATATTCTTTTTCATTATTGGTTATTGCAACATATCTAATATAGTTCCCTGTGCTCTACAGTAGGACCTTGTTGTTTATCTGTTTTATATCTAGTAGTTTGTATCTGCTAATCCCAAACTCCCAATTTGTCCCTAACCTCCCCCCTTTCCCTTTGGTAACAATGTTTATTTTCTACATCTGTGAGTCTGTTTCTGTTCCGTATCATTTTTTTAGATTCCACATATAAGTGATATACGATATTTGTCTTTCTCTGATTAACTTGCTTCACTTAGTATGATCACCTCTGGGTCTATCTGTGTTGCTGCAAATGGCAATATATATATATATATATATATATTCTTCATTCATCTGTCGATGGACATTCAGGTCGCTTCCATGTCTTGGCTGTTGTAAATAGTGCTGCTGTGAACATTGGGGTGCATGTACCTCTTCAAACTAGAGTCTTCTCTAGTTTGAAGTAACTATTAGTAAAACTATTAGTTTTAGTAACTATTTTTATTTTTTGGTGACGGTCTTTCTGACCATGTAAGACCGGTGTGAAGTGATCCCTCATGGTAGTTTTGATTTGCATTTCTCTGATAATTAGCCATATTGGAGCCTCTTTTCATGTGCTTATTGGCCATCTGTATGGCTTCTCTGGAGAAATATCTATTTAGGTCTTCTGCCCATTTTTGAATTGGGTTGTTTGTTATTTTTTGAGTTGTATGAACTGTTTGTATATTCTGGAAATCAAGCCAATGTCAGTTGCATCATTTGAAAATATCTTCTCCCAGTCCACAGGCCGTCTCTTCATTTTGTTTATGGTTTCCTTCGCTGTGCAAAAACTTATAAGTTTGATTAGATCCCATTTGTTTATTTTTGCTTTTATTTCTATTGCCTGGGGAGACTGACCTAGGAGACCATTGCTGTGATTTATGTCAGAGAATGTTTTGCCTATGTTTTCTTCTAGGAGATTTATGGTGTCTTGTCTTATGTTTAAGCCTTTAAGCCATTGTGAGTTTATTTTTGTGTGTGGTGGGAGGGAGTGTTCTGAGTTCACTGATTTCCACGCGGCTGTCCAGCTTTCCCAGCACCACTTGCCGAAGAGACTGCCTTTTCTTCATTGTATGTTCTTGCCTCCTTCGTTGAAGATTGATTGGCCGTAGGTGTGCAACTCACATATTTATAACGTGGCCCCATGATAAGGAGGAACTGCTCACTTATCTCTGGGTCCGATGACAGAAAGAGTGTCAGAAGAGGCACTGCCATCCCTCAGCCACACGGCGATGCGAGAGGAAAATTACACTTTAATCTGCAGTCTAACAGATTCTGCCTTGCATGAAGCCGGTATCCTGCTTTATGACAGAGCTGAGTTAGTTACGTCTGACTCACAGGGAAAGTGCATTTTATGATCTTGTCAGAAGAAATGGTTTCACTGGGATCATTTTAAGCCAATCATTTTATACCTACCTTCTCCTAACTGTTTGGGATGTTAACTTATTAACCATTCTCATGTCAAGCTTGATGCATTTTAAATACTTAAAATAAATACCAGGAGGCTGTGGGGATTGGAGAATAGATTTTCTGTCAGCATTTAGTGCTTTCCCATATCGGGAGGATCAATTTCAGTGGATCTAGTGAAAAAGGGCTCCCTCCTTGCTTCCTCCGCACACGAACCTTTCATTTTGTTCCATGGAGGGAGCGTGTGCACGTGGGATGAAAGTCATGCTGATTATTTTAAAACCAGACTCATGTCTGTTTGACTGATGAGGTCCTGGCATCCAGCCAGCAAGACATCACTGAAACCTTGTCCCCTCCTCGCAGCTCGGCCACCGCATCCTAGGTGGAGCTGGATGGATGGATGGATGGCAGGGCGGGGAAGCTTTGAGGGGCTGGGGCACAGCAGCTTGGTAGAAAGCAATGTGAAAGAGCAATTTCTGTGTGTGTGTGTGTGTGTGTGTGTGTGAAGGCAGTTGTAGATCACCAATTATGCTTTTATTGCAAAAGCCAGGTGACGCTTTCCAACCCTCTGGGTCGCGTCTAGTCCTACTGACCCTTGGAGACACTTCGTCCTTTATTTGCTTCTATAGACCCTGCCCTTCTGGGGCCCTACTACTTCTCTGACCATATTCCATCTCTGTGACCATTGCCAGCTCCTCCTTCTCTGCTCGTCTTTTTAAGGTTTTGTTCCTTGGGATTCTGTCCCCAGTCACGTTTTCTTTTCATGCTGCATGGCTGGCATGTCAGGTAGAATAACAGCCCCCAAAGAAATTATGAATGAAAAATATCGCCAGCCATGTCAGTAAACCAAGGATGCTGTGGCCATCAAGTCATCAGCCGCTACCGCTACCCCTGGCAAGGAGTAGAGGGCACTCAGGATGCAGACAAAAAGGCTGCCCGGCCTTGGCAGCCACCCCCAGTGGTGCTCCCTGAGGGAACTCAGGATGGGAAAGAAGGGGACACTGGCCCTAAATAGCCAGGTGCATCTCAGAGGAATGATTTCAATGAGCCCAGACTCTTGCCCCTTCCCATACACAGAAAGGCGCTACGTTCCTTAACTTGAGACACCTGGTTTTCTTTAACTAATGGTAATCTTTTGATGTTCCAACCACCTGGTCTTTGTTGCAAAAATTCATGTATCCTGGCTTCTCCCTTGCCACTTTGGAGCATTCCCTCAGAGAGATCTGAGAGGCTGTCATCCTGGGCTTACGTCCTCAGAGATGTCCGCCAAATAAAACGTAACTGTCAGCTTTCAGGTTGTGCATTTTATTTCATTGGACGACGTCCACTCCCTGGTCCAAAGGGACTTTGCAGACATGATTAAGGTTAAGGACCTTGATGTGGAGAGGGTGTCCTGGGTTATAAAGGGGGGCCCAATCTAATCCTAAGAGCCTGTAAGAGCAGAGGACTTTCTCAGGCTGGGAGCAGAGGAGAGAGAAGGCAGAAGGGGAGTCGGAGAGACCTGGGACGTGAAGGGGCTGGACGTGGGATTGCTGGCGGTGGAGACGGAGGGAGGGGCCGTGAGCCAGGGAATCTGGGCAGCTTCTAGAAGCTGAGAACCACTCCTGGCTGAATCCCTACCCACCACCTCGCTGGATTCCTTCCCCTCATGACCACCTTCTCTTGAGCACCTCTACTTGAGTATGTTAAGGGTACATCCAACTCCATACATTAAAGAGTGAATGCATTTTCTCTCCTCCCACATCTTTCTTTTTTGAGGGTTCTGCCAATTGACCAAGCCAGAAGCCTGGCATCAGGCTGGTCCTTTCCTTTGCTTTGACTTTTTTTTGTGTAGTTTCACTTCTTTGTTGAACTGTCACTGCCTCAAGGAGGTCTCCCCGGACCACCCTGTTTACAATAGCAGCCCTTGGCCACTACACATGGGGTCCTTTTTCACTTAGCAGCTGCTGGTGTATTATACTTACTGCTTTGCATCTCTCTCTCCCCACTTGGAATGTAAGCTCCACGTATGTTTTATTTTATTAATTCTATTTAAGCCATAACCTAATAGTTCCCAAATATCAGGCATGGCTTTAAGCATTTTAAAAAAAATAAATATCCACTTATTTAACTCTCTTTTTTTTGGTGTTGTATGTCTAGCTTCTGGAATAGTGCCCAGCACATAGTAGCTACTCACTATACAGTAGTTGAGTGAATGAAAGAATGAATGAATTCAACTGAACACTAAATGCGGTCAATTCTATTTTCTTAATATTTTTGGTACCAACCCACCTTTATCCATCTCACAAGCCTCCTGCATCCCAGCAGCAGTATTTAATGGACCCTCTTACGTCCAATCCCGTTCTCCTCTACAATCTTCTCTGTATATTGTAGGGAGATTGTTCTAAGGGACAAGAAGCCTGGCCACATCATGCTCCTGGGTAGACCTTTGAATGACCCTTCTTCACATGCTTTCTTTTTTTTAAAATTAATTAATTATTTTATTTTATTTTGTTGGGGGGAGGTAATTAGATTTATTTATTTTATTTTTTAATGGAGGTACTGGCGATTGAACCCAGGACCTCGTGCATGCTAGGCACGTGCTCTGCTCCTGAGCTGTCCCCTCCCCTCCTCCTGACATGCTTTCCTCATCCTCATTTCTCACCACTCCCTCTTACCCTCCTCTCCTGCCTGATACTTTTATCTTCAGTTGGCCTCAGTGTTCAGTGTCCCAGATAGGCCCCTTCTCCCTTGACTTCCAAGCCTTTGCATATAGCTCCTTGCCCCCTCACTCCTTGCTACCTGCCCTGTTCCTACTTGGCTGCTCCCCTCCCCGTGACACCCCCCAGCCTCCACCCATCTCCACCGTGGGAAGTGCCTGTCTTCTGCTCACCAGCTAGTCCATCCTGGCCTCTCTCTGTGTGTTGTAAAGACCTCTTTACCTGTGCCGTGCCCTGGTGAGTTTACAAGGTTCTTGAAGCAGTGGGCTGGAAAGCAGGGTCTCCTCCATCACCTAGCACACCATCTGGCACCCAGCAGGGGCTCAGCGAATTCCTGTGAGCCAGTGAATTGGCTTTTGGAAGCTAGGTGAGCCCAGGCCAGGCACTCTCACCAGCCAAAGGGACACTGGTTCTGCCAGGATTGGTTTGCAGGTGCAATTGTATGTGTAAATGCATTTTCACTGTTCTGCCTTAGGACCCAATTTTTGAAAATTAGATTTTAAGTGTCCCCTCCTCCTCACTCGCATCTCAGGCTTCAAGACAGTTAGCACATAATTTAAAATGAAAGGCGTAGAAAATTGGACTCATTTCGTTTACTCTACTTGAAATCCGTGTTAGGCTATTTTTAAATTCTCATGGATCTTGTGCTCTTTCGGGTGTGTTGGGGGGGCAGGATGGAGGGCGCTTGTAAGCTGTTAGAGATGTTTTAGCACTTTGTTTTTAATGCCTTCAGTTTTCACATTAGCATGACCCCAAATACAGTGACCAAAGTCAAAGACTGAAAATCAGAGTCAGCCTCAACACTGGCAGGGGGTTGTAACCAGGCAGGACCCTATTGTCATCGGTGACCATCTGACATCTGTAATGGTGCTTGTAGCTGCTTAACTGTCTAATGGTTTAAAGGGTTTTTCTCATGCTCTTGCTGACCAGGGTTGGGCTGGAGAGGAGGGAGGCCTGAGTGGCCCACTCAGCCTCCCTGTGGTGTGGGTGCTGTGTGCAGGGATCAATCTCAGTGCCCTGCTCCTGACCCCAACACCTCAGAAACAGCTGTTGGGTGTTTTGTGCACCTTGTTGTTCATAACTCACCCCAACTGTGCTTGTCTGCCATTGTTTTTGGACCCTTATGGTTTCCTTGTATCCTGTTGTTCGAGGTCCCAGGCCTCAGCCTGCTTAAAAGGCTAAAAGCATTTACCAATCTGACTTTAAACTGCACAAGTTTTTCTATCAAGCACTTTTCCACAGACCCCCTTCCTATACATCCTTTGTTCTAGGTACAAGAATAATAAGAGAGTCCCAAAGCCAGAGGTGAACTTCATACCCAGCAGAAGGAAGGTAACCACTGCATCTGCAAAAACAAGAGCAACTTTGCAACAATTTGTTACCCTGTAGTGATCTCCATGGAAACTAGCTCCGCCCCTTGAACTCTTGTACGCTTACTATAAAACCCCCTGCCTTCTCTGCCCAGAAGGCTCACAGTCTTGGAGGCAGTAGCCCACTGTGCCTCCTTTGCCTGGCAAAGAAAGAAGGCTGCCTTTTCTGCTTCATCCAAAATTCTGTCCTCGAGTCTCAATTTGGTAAGTGGGGTACGGAGGCCGTGTTTCAGCAGCAAGGTCAGGGCCCCCGGCTTACAGACACGGCTTTCGCAGCATCCTTGTGAATGGGGTAGGGGCTCCTCTTCATCCACAGTCCTGAATCCCTGCTTTCAGGTTAGGACTTGGCACAGAACCTTCCGAGCTCACATGCGTATCTGCCTCCTTGAGCTGCTCTGCACACCTGGCGTGTGAGTTTGAGGTTCTTTGCAGGTGGGCAGAGCTGAGTGTTGACACTGAGGCTGAGCGTCTAAGGCGCCAGTGGCCCCTCATGCCTGGCACCCAGCTGGCTTTGGGGCTTTCCCCACGGGTGCCAAATGCCCACTGCCTGTGCTCATAACCAGGGTGCTTCCCCAGGTGCCCTCCTCCGCTTTATGAAAACAGCGGAACTCAGCAGCAAGGCCGGGAAAATGAAATCAGACACACTTTGTAACAGAGCTAATGAATAATCTAACTACTGCACACACATAAGGAGAACCCACTTTGGCTTGCTCTCTCTGAAAGTTGAATTCTAATGGGAGGGACAAAAAAATAGAAACAGAAAACAACAGCCACACATCAGTGAACCCATAAGTAAAATAATTACAAGATGCTACAAGGCCTACGGAGGCAACAATCAAGGATCGGGGGGAAATAATCAAGTGACAAGCAGCCAACGACTGCAGGGGGAGCATCCTCTAAGGGGGTGACATTTAGGTTGAGGCCAAAAGGATAGGATACCCTCCTGCGGTGGGTGGCAGGGGAGGCGTGCCAGGCGAGGATGGAGAAAGAGCCTGGTGTGTCTGTGTGTTGAAGATGAAGCCAGATAAGGGCTGAGGTGATGAGAGGACCACATGCATACAGGGAGACCAGGGGGCCAATCTGCAGCGTCTCCAGGCGTTGAGGAGGGTTTGGGTTTTGTTCCAAGGACAAAGGGAAGCCAAGGCTGAGTGTTGGACAGATTTTCCTGGGTTCTCTCTCCAATGAGAAGGGCGGTGTGAAAAGGGGGAGTTGGGGCCCAGCTGTGCACCTGGAGGAGGGAGCTCTCGAAGTCTCCATGAGAGTTCTGCATTCAGCTTCTGTGTCTCCCAGCTCTGCTGCATGGAAATGTCAAATCCAGCAGCCAGATGTGCCAAACCTTGATTTAGGACACTGTGTTGGGGCCATCAGGGGCACAGCCAGGGTGGGCCTTCTCAGCTGCCAACTCACTCCCCCTGTGCTGAGCCCCCAACACGGCTCCATCCCTGACCCTTCCTCCAGGAAGGCGCCATCCGGGTGCCTCCTAACACAGTCGTAGGCTGGGCTGTGAGAGATCAGGGGTGAGGTTCCCTGTTGGCTGTTTCGATAAGGCGGAAATTCAGCTCCTTCACAGTGTTGTGTTTGGAGCTGATCAGGCTTGTCTCTTCCTTTCCCTTTGTCGGGTATAGAATTTGCTGCAAATGCTGGAGAGAGAAGGCTCATCACGAACACCCGTGGGGCTGGGCAGCGATGCAGCACGAAGCGCACACACGGTGTATCTGGGTGTTTAGAGTTGTGTATCAGTCTGGTAGGTGACTAAGTGCGGCAAATCCTATTGTCCTAACTTGAGGCTTAAACTGTAGGCTTTATTATTATGTGGAGGCCAACAGGTCAGACCCTGGCTATGAAGTACCATGTGAAGTCACTTACATGTGGAATCTAAAGGAATGAGACAGATGAACTTATTTACAAAACAGAGACAGACTCACAGATGTAGAAAACAAACTTGTGGTTACCAGGGGGAGGGGGGATGGAAGGATAAATTGGGAATTTGGGATTTGCAGATACTAAGTACTATATATGTAATAGATAAACAGCAGGGTCCTACGGTAGAGCACAGGGAACTATATTTAATACCTTATAATAGTCTATAATGAAAAAGAATATGAAAAGGAATGTATGTATGTATAACTGAATCACTGTGCTGTGCACCAGCAATTAACACAACATTGTAAACTGACAATCATTCAATTAAACAAATGAAAACAAACAAACAAACAAAATCTTAAAAAATAATAAAAGAGAGTTTGGACTCACAGACATAGAAAACAAACTTCTGTTTACGAACGGGGAAAGGGTGAGGTGGGTGGTGGAGGGACAAATTAGGAGTCTTGGATTTGCAGATACAAACTATTATTTACAAAAATAGATAAACAACAAGGTCCTACTATATAGCACAGGGAACTATATACAATATCTTGTAATAGCGTATAATGAAAAAGAATATGAAAAGGAATATATATATATTTCT